GACTACAACTAAACTGCACAACCTTTCATCCTTAATGAAAATCCCTTGCACAACGAAACCATGCAATCAGAATTAAACTGAGTTTGTCAGAGTTTGTTGAAATTGGTTGTATAATTTTGCGTACTGGRTTTGTATGAGCTGTTAATGTTCTTTGGACCCCTGATGGATTAATATTAGAGAATTATTGATAGCAAGAACATGGATCATTTCTCAAAAAGAATACCACTACAAAATTGAAGTTAAAGCACATTTATATCTATGGTTAGTGATGATTATTAATTTAAAAAATGTACCAAAATAAGTGACAGAATAAAATATGGTGAAATTTCTTTGCAGGCAACTAGATTTTGCGGTGTAAAAAAATTACATTAGAAAAACATTTTCAAATGATTATAGGATTTAAACACTACTTCAATGMAAAACAGTACTACATAAAATTGTTTTGTCACATAAAACCACAGTCTTTAATAAGATAATAGGAGAATGTAAACGACTTGCTTGTGGTCAGGCTGGAAGTGGTATTGTGTTTTACAACAATTTCAGTGTAGTACTGCTTCAGATATATACTCAGTCTATATTTCCTAACAAAAAGAATGAAGTTGACAAAGTTAAAAGCAAAATTGTGTCCTTTTACAAACAACAAATTGATCAAGCTTGGAGAACAAGCTGTTGTTTCTCAAGTGGGACTTTGGTATCYAATGGTGGGGCATCAAATACTCCATCAAAATCACATTTTTCATCAAATTCCTCCAATGTGAACTTCTGTGTCTTGGCAGGGGGTTTGCAGCAGAAGGCACGGACACAACAGAATACAGTAGCCAGACCAAGGAACGTTATCAAAAGAAAGATTGACAGACGCGCTGCGAAAGGAAGCTTATAGAAGTCTTTGCAGATGCTGTGTTCGTATCTGTCAACCTGATAAATTCATGTGGAAATTTTCATTAATAAAACACTATAAAAATACTCTCATTTGTCAGTGATTGATGGTAATGATGCCAATGTATGATGGTGATGAATATAGAAGTGTTGCAGAGAAGTGGTAAGCTAATACTCTTTAAAACACTATACCCAAGATGAAGTGGTTTGAGTTTGTATCTGGTTGTTTCTCAACCAAACAACAATATTGTAAGGAGTTTTGTGTGCTAAAACTTTTTTGCAACTTTAATAAAGTTATTGTTAATTTAGCACCATACCTTTCCACCAAATGAAGTCTTGTCAGCGTGCAGTGGTGTCTTTGGTTTGACTGGTTTGCCAAGCTTCTGAAAGTCATCCATTTGCTTCTTGGAGGCATTCAATGGTTTGTGAGGAAGGCGACCTGCAGAAATAAATTTCATTCATTATTCAAACTGGAGTCTAATAGTTATTCACTTGCATCCATTGTTAGGTTAATTATTAAGAAGCAAGTTCTACAGATAATTTGCTTTATATTTAACAAACCTCCTTGGTGATGGACATGGATGTCATTTTTAGCTGGATGAGTTCTGATTTTGCTTTCAGCAATGCGGATAGCAGTGACTTTGCGTTCTGCAATGAGTTCATTTTTGCTGTTATCAAGTTTGACAATCATCTGCAAGACATCAATTTCAGAGACTTTCTTGCTGTCAATCTCAATAATTTGAGCTTCAACAACAAGTTTCTTAGTTTTGGTTCTCCCAGAGGCAATGGACTGCTCTAAGACAAGGACACGAATGATGATAGGTGATGTGTGCTGTCGAAGAACAACACTATTCTTGCCGATCTCAACTGAAAAACAAAGGAGAAGACATTGTCAATATTTGTCAGACAACTTTAACTTATCAAAAAACAAAGGAGAAAGCATTGTCAATATTTATCAGATAATTTTAACTTATCAAAAACAAAGGAGAAGTCGCAAATTGTCAATATTTATCAGACAATTTTAACTTATCAATACCAATGCCCGTACCTATCTCAGCATGAAAGTGGAATGCTGTTACAGAGTCATGTTTTGCCTTAAGACCATTAACATGGATGTTACCCTCAAGAACTGTGACTTGGAATGCAACCTAAAGTCATAAAGAAACAAACATCTTGAAAAATTTATTACTTCAGGGTGTAATTAGCCACATGAAGACACCACATCAAGATAATGTATTGTTTAATGCTAAGGATAAGGTTGATAGAATTGTGGTACAATAAAGAAAATATGGCAGCAATTTAACAGACAGAGAAGATAATCAAGCATAAGAAGGACAACAGAACAATTGACTAGATGATCTGACATTTAACTTTAGAGGTGAAAGTGACTATCTAGCTAGTTTCATTGCTTTCGACAAATGTGTCCCCCACTGTGAATGTGCTTATGCGATTGCACTATTGCATGGAGGTAATCAATGAAATATCTTCTTGCAAAGTTCAAGGTAGGTTTTTCATCACCTTTGGACTAAGTTTTCTTACATTTGAAACCTATGTCCTTGACCTCAGCATTTAGCAAAACACTGGCAGTTTTTTATCTCACCAACAAAATCAAATATTACTGGAGCACAGAAATGATGGATTATTCAAATGGATTATTTATTGAATACATCCAAACGCTGATGGATGCCAAAATAGGAAGCATATAAAATAGTACACAGGATCACATGACATGGAAAATTTCAACTTAATTGATCAAAAGTCCACTGAATCATATGACAATTGCATTTTTTACATTTACAGCTCTTGACTATCTGACGAAATACTTGAGAATTTTTACTCTGCTCCAATTAAAATCAGTCATGTAAGACTGGGTGATTTTTTTCCCAATAAAACTACAGAAATGGACATCTTCTAATGAAAATCCACTGTGGCACAGCTGCCAAAAGAGCAGAGAAGCAGCTGAAAATTCTTTTTCTTAACTTAATTCCGCGTTCACCAGGAAGACAATGTCCAGTTTGCAATCCTAGTCTAAATTTGCATAAAACTTTTTACATAACCAATGATGTCAACAACATAAGCTTACAGCTTTTCGTCGTCTAAATTCCTTATTAATACACTACGAAATAACTAAATTCACAATGTAACAGAAACGAACCCTAAGGCTCAAGTAAAACTAGAGTGTGGCTTTCGCGCTTTCGTTTCAAAGTCTTCACAAAATTAACTGCAAATGGTTTGCCTGACATGTGAATAAATTATCCTGATTATGAGCTGACGACGCATTTCCTAAGCTTTATGGGGTTTTAGATCTCGTCGATAGCTTACTTAATAAACCTCTCGCTAATATAAAGAAATATTTCATTATCAGACATATTTTCCTGGAATTTAGCAGCTAAAAACTTATGTAGATCACTTCACACCTAGTACAAGGGAGTCTTCAATCATCGARTCTTGTCAAACAGTGTCTCGACTTTCACCTAAAATTTCAGCCTCGATTTTACCTTTTTAAACTTCTTTCGATATATTAATTTCGGTAAATTATTATTTTTTATTACCTTAGRAATATTTCTAAAGTGTGACTTCAGYAATCGCGTCCTACCTTCAGAATTTCAGCGTCTTTAAAATTTCCAAGGTTGTCTTTTTCAATTTTTGCTGTCTGTACATTTATCGATACTTGTTCGAGGTTTTTAGTGTCAGTTTCTTTAACTTTAATTTTTGTCGATTTTATCTCTCCACCAAGTGAGAATCCCAAGCAAAGAGCCCCCAAAACAAGGAGCGAAACTCGGAGCATAGTGAMTCGTCTCTGTCGTGTAAACTTTTACRGACGAAAGGCGATCGAAGGAAATTATGCTAATGTATTTAAYACAGGCTGCYAGGTCCCGTATGTTTACGTCATGTCACGCTTTCGAAACTGTAAATATTTTACACTTAGTCTGTGAAAAAAATGCCTTATTTCTTTATGTTTTTATTAAAATTSCAGACGATAAAGACCAATTTTACTAAAGAAAACATCATCGACCATTATGGGCTCGTACACTTGAATGTGCGTGACTTAATGACGTCAAGTGTACATCACGCAACACCATTATGCAACACATTTCAAAGATGGCTTCCCTGCTAAGAAGTTTTGTTACTAGAACTTTTRCTCTTACCGCGCAATCTGCTCGATTACTTACAGTTGAACCTTCAGCACCATTTTTAATAAGAAGTTTTCGACACTCTCCTCTKTCGACGTCGAGTTCAAAAGGAAAGCCAAAGCCAGAATCGTAAGTACAAGTAAAATTTCACAACCTTRGTCCCCTCGGCGTGTCATTGTTTATGTAAAGTTTAGGCGTCGATTTTTAAAGCCTATGCTGCTTCCAAGTAATGCATTATTAGCTAAAGAAGATGTATTCGCTGTACTGATTTACAGTTGTAAATTTTCTACCAAAACATCAACAAATACAAATCAAGCGAAAAACTATCTTGAACATGGCGGTCACTTAACTTGGAAACGGGAAAGGACTGTAGCTGTATAAGGGTTAAATGAGATAAATAGATATTTTAAAACAAAGTATTAATCATCATTAATACC